AATTGTGAAAGAAGCCTGCATTCACTGCTTATGTACAATCTCAGAAGCTGGCCCTAATGACTTTAAAAAAAAGAGGTCATTTGACCTGAAATATCAGATCAAACAGAACAAGTGTTCCAAGAGAAAGAAAAAATAAACCCAAACCAAAAACCAACCAGCAGAAACAGGTAGACAAAAACCCAGCTGATTAAAGGGAATGAAAGCTTTGTGTTCTGACTTTAAAAAAAGTTCTCTCAACTGGACTGCAGTGGTTTCCTTGATCAGTATAGGATGGTGAGGAACATGTTTTATTTATTTAAAGATAATAATATAAGGCCACCAAGAACACAGCTTGGCTTTATACATAATCGAATGGCCACAAAACACTCGAATATTTTTTTAAGTCACTTTTTTCTCTCTTCTAAGCATCATAAATGTTTCAGAAGTTCTCATAAAACTTCCTCTCTACATGTATTTTTCCTGGCTTACAACTCCAAATACAGAAAAGATAAACTAACAAACAACTACACAGTCCACATGGTAATGCAGCAAATTAGCCAAGAATTCAAGTAAAAGCATTTCAAAGTAATCTGCTAAGCCAGTTTATATTGAAACAACAGCAAAGATACACTTATTTTGGTCCAGCAATCAATACTAGTGATTTAGGCTGTTTGCAGCTGGAATGACAAAACTAAAGTCTTTACACAAGCCTGTTACCACATCATCAACTATGAATTAATATTTTACAGAATACTTTACTCCTTAAATCCACTAGACTCTCTTGCCATGAAAACATCATTGCAATGTTTCCCACGTGGTTTTAGAAAGTTACGCTAGTCTTCCTCAAGGAGGTGCATACAAATATTCTGAATCATCTAGAACGTGCTGCACAGTTACAATTGGACTGTTCACCTCAAAAAAAAAAGTGTCTTCCCTCCCCAACCCCCACAACAAAACAAAAGGCAAAATGAAGAGAAAGGAAATAATTTATTAGAGATTTCACAAGCAAACTAGCATACATTTTTCGTATGTCTTGTGACAGTTTAAAGATATCTGGTATCTTTAAGATGAGAAAATTTATACTCTGCCTTAAATACTTTAGAAATGCTACTACGCACAGTTCAAGAGTCCTGATGATTACTGCTTCTTCCCCCAGCTTGATAATACTTGAAAGAGATGGAACACAAAAGGGACCTGGAACATCACAAAGGCATGTTAAAAGTAGTAGTGTTATGCTTTCTTTTGACAACTAGATTGTAAGATGCTTAGTATTTAGAAAAGTGCTGAATGAAAAAAATCTGACTTAATAGAAACAGGCTATATTAATTTTATATTACAGTAAGTTAAACAATAATGTAATATGAAACCCACAAGAAAAATGTAAGTCACTGGCAAGACCACTACCTCAGTGCAGAGATCAAAAAAAAGAAAACCAACAAAAAGGTAGCACTGACTAATAGTTCATTAAGAGTTCAATTCCAAATAGTTCATTGCAAGATACTGTTAAGATTTTCTTCTCTACTCAGAAAATGTAAGGAACGTACAAACTAAGTCAGCTACAGATTGTTTTTCATATACCAGAAGAACAGTTAATCATCAAATGATCTAAAATACTGGTCAACCCTTTAATATTATCAAGAATTGCTCTGCAACATATTTTAACCAATGTACTATTATATGTATTTAAAGAAAAACAAGGCGACATTCCCAGTGTGCACTCAGCACAGCTCCACATATATCAGTAGAAGGAACACTTCTAGCTCATACAAGCTAAGGAACTGGACCACAAATCAGCAAGTTATATGACCTTTGAGGAAGAAGGTGGAATCCACCTTTTAAGACTAGGAACCTTCATTGTGTCTATTCACACAACACAGACAACTCCTTTTTTTTTTTTCCTCCTTTTCCCCCCTGAAAAAAGTGCCCTTTGCTTTTAAAATTACCAGATTAGTTCAAGCTCTAAAATATGTAAACTCCTCCCCACACCTACTCTATATGAAAACTTAGATGCAGTTGAGTGCTATGGGAAATATTGCACAAAAAAGGATACAACAAGAAAGGATACACTCTGCATGACAGTATTACTGCAGTATTTACGCAGGAATGTTTCTAAAGAAGAACAGCAGAATGTGGTTTAATTTTACTTGACTCTCAGTATTGCATACACATAACTTTATGCTACCTATCAAAAGCAAATATGCCTCTTCGATATAATACAGTTTTTGACCCCTTATGAGATTTAATGAGGGCTGATGAGTCCAACACTAAACTCCATATTCAAAAGTAAATACATTTTTTGATAACTTGGAACTACTAGGATAACACCAGATTTTTCTGTCTCATTAATTCTCCTTCAAGTCTTTGCCATTTTACAGACTCACTTTTTCCATCAGGTCCAAAACCCAATCATGTTTCCATTCAATGCAGGCTTTCAAGTCACTTCCCTATGAAGAAACTGGAGACCTCTCAAGATCAGTGTCTTCTACATAACCTTTCTCCCAAAAAGCAGTATTTTAGCTACAGAAAAAATAGTCACCCCAAATACTAACTGAAATTTTTGCCAGTCCATCAGGAAAAAGACATTTCAGCCAGCAAGGAGTTACATAATACACGTGGCTTATAAAAATACTATTTTCTCTACAAATAATAAAGCCTTTGTAGAGAAAATACTAAAAAATAATAATATTTGCAATAACATTCATAAATTTAACACAGCTTCTTTCTGTTTAAAAATAATCAAAAGTTTAACTTATGTCACTTTAGTTGTTAAAAATTAACAACAACATTGAGATGCAGGATACAGATCAAAATTTGAAATCCCTCAATTGTTTGCATAAGCTTCTTTATATGCATGTTTATGTTTCAAATGAGATTCTGACACTGTTTTTCCTTACAGACTCAGATTTCTATAACAGAATTTTGCATCATAAATCAGCATCCATCAGAATATTCCAGTAGGAACAGGAAAACATAGTCATGCAGAAATAGGGTTCAGTTTCATCATTAGTTGGGAAGTGAAATAAATACTTTTAATTAAACCTCATGGATCCCTAGAAATCTGTATTAGTCTATGGCACATTCTGTGATCTTTACACACAAATGGTCAAAGTAAGGAAGAAGTTCTGCCCATGATACCTTGGTGTCTTTGGTTTAATGTAACTCATGTAAGACTTTCAGGTGTACAAATAAGTCTTGCATAAGTATATGTTTGCTCACTCTGAAAAAAGCTTCTGAGTTGACCATCAACATGATTAATAACCAAGTAAGCACCTTGTTATTTTCTTTATGTAATTCAAGTATTATTTATCACGTTTAGTGAAGTCAGAATTAAGTTAATGTACAAAATTAGTTGGAAAGACATGGAATTCCTAGAAGAATAAAAGTGTTTAGACCTCATTTATACGGCTTTCCAACAGCTAAAATACTTCAAGTTTCTTTTTTGCATTTAAAGAAACCTTAATAATTTTCTTCTTAGACACTGGATAAAATAATATAAATACAAGGTTTTTTTCTAACAAGGAAGGAATAAGAAACAAGACTGAAACACTCCCATAAACCCTTGCTCCTAACAGAATACTTTAGCCAAAGCTCATTTGTCTCTTTTCAATGACCAATACAGAAGAATGCCTGTAAAAAAAGTGATCTTTAATTTGATAAAATAAAATACAGATTTTGCAAACCACAAATCAGTAACTCAAAATAGTAAGTGGTAAGACCAAAGAGCATCTCAGAAATGAGGGAAACAAGCTAAACTATAATCTGATGAAAAAATCCTTAGACAACTGACAGAACAAGAAACCTACAATTGAGGTAATTGTTATAAATAGAAATACTACCTTCCCAATAACCACACTGTGGGGTCTCCAACCGATTTTTAAAAATAAAAACCAGCTGTTCACATCCTTTATTTCAAACTTCATTGTTACTTTGGAAAAAACCCTGATCAAAACATCCAGATTAAAGACACATAATGGATTAAGTAGAATGTTTCAGAAGCATTCAGTCTAAGCTTTGAGTTAATTTGGTCTTAGGTGGAGGCATAACCAGAGTGATGCCCAACTGTAACCTGTAATTAAGTTAAATGCCCTTTAAATTTGCGGTAGCTGATCTATCAGAGGGTGCAGATTGATAAATAAGTGCTTCTAATTCTTGCACCAGTTCTAATTTCAGACAGTTCACTACTCAAATGGTTTTAGGCCATGAAGCCCCTCACAGTTAAATTAGAGCTTATTTTGCCTGAGTTATTCTCATGTAAAGCAAATAGTGAGAGTAAGCTGTAATGAAGTAAAGCTATATGATAGGAAAAAGTTAAATAGTGATTACTTTCTGCTAAAAGTTACTTTCCCATCAAGTTTAGACAATAATGCCAAAAATCAGGACTTATGCATTCCACAACAAAGAAAGCCTTGATCAATGCAACATTAAGTACAACTTTCTGACATTATATCCTTTCCTAAATCAGACAAGTTTAAAGGATGCTGCAGCAGCACTAAGATCTCATTTTCCAAAGTTAGCAAAACCAAAGGTCCTTTACAGAGCTAGCAAAATTGAGTTTATTGCTGGAAACAGTTCTTCAGGGTCACTTCACAATGGCAGGGACAGAAGGAAAGGAAAAAAGAGGCAAAGCAAAAAGCCAAAGCCCCAGAAGATTACTAAAAGGTAAGTGGTCCGATTCTACAGAATTATTCTCCTTGGATCTCCAGATTAAGGATCAGAGAAATTGACAACTGCCCTAGGATATCAGGATTAGGGACATGGCAGTCTCCAAGTTTCTAAAGAGAGGAGGAAGAAACATTTTAAACTTACGCCAACTATGTACCTTGCATTCTGGTTTTCAGATATAAGTGCACATTTAGGAAAAGAAAATTGTATGGAACATTTCCCCTCCACCATCACTATTCCTAAAGAAGCTATTAAAAGATAACAAAAAAAAAAACCTCAACGAAACAAATTAACAAAAAAACCCAGCCTATTTCTTTATTTTCATTTTCAGGCAAAGAATCCATACCTTGTGCAGTGTTCTACTTTTTTCTTTTCCCTTCATTGGCATCCTGTTTTGGTCTAGCTGAACGAGCAAATTGCTGATATTCTGTTAAGGACTACAAGTGTCAATGATAAACAGAAGCCAATCAAGAAATAAAAAAATAAGTATTATTTCAACAAAAGATAGTTTAAAAAGTGGCCTTTATCTGTGCATCAATTCTACTACAGAATTAAATATTATAACAATAGTGTCCATTAGTGAAACACTGTGACTTTACTGATCCGCAGTACAAAAAAAATTTAAGAGAGCCTGCCCAGAGTTTACAATACTAAGTAAATAAGGAGGACTAACTGGGAACGGGTTAGGTGCAAACAGAGTAACTACAGCAGGACAAATGCTTCATATTTACAATCCTCCATTCCAGCATGTTAATTACATAAGTTTGATGTATGGATTTGTGAGGAAAAAAACTAAAAGGAACAGAGGTTGGGGTGAACAAGAATACAAAGAAAAGGAAATAAACTATGAAACATTTCAGTGAAAAATAAGAAAGGACTTACAGACAAAAAATAGGGACATGCAATCAAAAAGAGTCAAAATTCCAACATGTTACAGAGGCTGAAAAAGTAACTGACAGTTCCAGCTGGACAGTAAGTCTACACAGAGACCACTGACCCCAACAGGAACATTTATGTTCTTAATTCTGTAAACACAGGCTTAAACAAGTCAAAAAGCCTACTTAATATAGACACGATGGTCATACAAGCTAAGTTATCTTTTGATCCTGCAAATTCAAGACCACAGAAGACAATTTTATTGTCTTAAATAAAGCACATTTACTTTCCTATTTCACATGAGCTGCCTCTACATATTTTTCAGTTATCATAAAATTAACAATAGTACACTATGCTATGCTGCCTGGTTTTCTTAAGGTATCTCCTCTTTCCATAGATTTCTAGTAAGTAGAACACTATGGCAGCAAAACTAGAGATTGATGGACAGATTACAAAGAATATAATGTAAATGTTTGAAAAAAAAGATACAACCACCATGGGTTTTTCAAATAAGACATATCCGTTTGCTTCTTTTAAAGCTTTAGAAGCTGCTTTTTCATTAGGAAGTCCAATGAAAGCCTGTCCTTTCATACGGCCTTCTTTCATCAAACGAATATCAAACCTAGAGGAAAAATTGAGAATTGGTAATTACTCATGTTTAACCACACTTTCATATTTCACAGTACAAATATAATTCTCAGCCTTCAAGTTGGAGAAATAGAGATAGGAGCAGAGCCTACAAGCAGGAATTATGTCATGGGAGACCATTTTCCCCAGGGCAACCATTTAGTAAAAAGCGATATTAGACTGCAGGATGTCAAATTGGTATGCAACTGTAGTAAATATGGACATATGCAAAATGATCAGATACACACAATCATCTACACTGTTGATTCTGCGTTCCTCAGGCAATGAACAGTAAATGTGGTAATGAAAATAAGGGCAAAATGGTAGGGTCTTCAGACACTGTTCAAAAAATAATTCTCTTTCCGTACTTGTGATAAATGAAGATTTCTAGACAAAACAGATTTTTTCTTTATGCAGGAGCATAAAGCAAAAAGTAAAGATCACTACTTTTTAAATCACAATTCTCACCAGTATTATAGAAGTTAACATAAAAGGCTTAATTTTAACCAAGTACCAAATTAACTTACATATTTCGTTCCACTTCTGACTGGAAGTCAACATATCTTCCAAAAATGAATTTGAGATCCTGAAATTAATGGGTAGGTATAAGAGGAAAGCTGATAAAAAGCCCTTTTGACAAATATTCAATTTGCTTGTTTACCTACCTTTTCTTGTACTTGTTTAGCTAAATTCTTCACATATATCCTGCAAGTTGGATCACCTGGCTCATAGTTTTTGAAAACAGAAAATTTTTCCATTTCTTAAAGACAGAAAAACAGACAATGTTTTAGCTGATTTACTTACTTTGTATTTTTCCAAAGAAAATTGAAGTATTTGTTGCAACAAATCAAAGAGCTATGATTAAATAATTTATTCTCAGAGTTATACCTTCTCTAGAAAGTCTGTTTTTCTCTAGATCCCTTCTAGAAATAAATTCCGATGGTATTTCATCTTCCTCCTCTTCAGTTTCCATTTTATCATTTGGGCTAGGAGCTGGGAAGATCCTTCCAAAGCCTGTATTATTGATTTGTTCTGTGGTTGCATAAAGGTCTGAAATTTCAACACATTGTATAAGTAGTTTGTATGTTTATTCACAAGAGGATCAACAGCAAGCAAAAAAAGTATGCTCCTTTCAGTAATATTTTAATATAGTAGACTTGGTAAAGCAATTAGAACACAGCCTTAAAGAAATGAGTCTTAATCCCTGGTTTGACAAACACAGCTGCTCTAGATGGTCCTATAAAAACAACCATGCTACAAATAAAAGCCATGGCACATGCCAGTTAAGGTAAAACTAGCCTCACTGTTCAAGCATTTATCCATTCCAAAGAAACTGTATATTACTCCAAAGTACCAAGAAATACTGACTGACCATAACTCTATAAGAAACCATCACACCTCATTGCTATTATTGCCAGCATTTTTATAGCAAATAATCAGTGCATCACAGAGAAGGAGTTGGCAATCATTTGAATGCTGCTTTCTAAGAGCTGGAAAAGGAAAATCTGAAATTAGCCTGATATATTGTATAATAATCTATCCAATTGTATAATAAGCTATATAATACCGAGAATGCATTTGTAGCATATTTGCTAAAGACACCTTAATATTTAAAAGTGTGCAACTCACCATAAAACCACAGATCACACAGGAGAGAAAGAGACCTTTAAAATCCTCTAGATCCTTTATTGTACTAAAGCACAGAGTTCTGTGCTTTAACATGGGAGAAAAAAGCAAATATAGACAAGACACAAGTTGGTGTTCTTAAACAAACCCTGATGTATGCTATTTGAGAGAGCTCCATTACAAAAGAAAAGAATTCCCTGGCCTAAATTTCAGCAGCCTGCTACACACTGAAACCACATGAATTTAATATTAAACATATTTGAAATACGAACTTTCTTACCATTTTTTTCTTCTTTTTCTGAGTTTATCTGAAGAACAGCTGGGATGTCAGTAGTAATATGGAACTCAATTTTTTTATGACCTACATGATGTGGCTGCTCAAAGACATCTGAAGGTGACAGTGCAGCGTGCAAATTACTGTTTAAAACAACTGCATGTTAATTAAAGATTCAGACACTGAAGAATGCATAGTCCAATACAAGATTTCTTCCAGATAGATTTTATGCTGTTGTTTTACCATATATTTACACATATACTGTGTATTTACCACAAATACACGAGTTCTCCATTTCATAAGTTTCACCCAATACAGTTCAAGTTGATTAAAACACTGCAAACACAGTAGGTATGCCTGGCAGTGAGAGCAAAAACAAGAATTACATACCACATTACAGTACAGACAGGCACTTATGAAAAACTTTATCAATAACTTAAAATACAAAAAAATAACAGGCCTTGCTGATGCTCTCACATAATGTATAAAGTAGATCAGATTTTCAAAAAATATAGCAAATCACTTGGAGGAAGGCAGCAGCTATTGGTAAAAATACATTCACAACTGATCATCACTACACAGAAACACTACAATGGTGTCTACTGTGCCATAGCACTGCAGTTTCAAAACCCAAACTTATACTGGAAGTATAAAAACTGATTTGGTTTAAGTTTTAAAATTTATTTTACATTTTTATTTTAAGAAGTATCCCAAAGAATAAATCCAGATTGCTTCTGTCAAGGGTGTGATATTAAATTTTTTTTCATAAAAAACAAGGATTTTTATTGGTTTGATAGCCAAACAAACACAGAGCTTTACATACTTTACAGATTAACATTGTTGAGCAGACTTGAGTTCAAATTACACAAAAATTTGGATCTTTAGAGAAATAACCTAGCATAAGGATAAGGGAAGACCAACTCCACTACCAAATTTATGTATGAGTGAAGAATGTTTGTTTTAGAACAGCAACACTAAAGCAAACATGATACACAGAATATCATTTAGTAAAAGGAATAATCTTCTGAAAAAGTGCAAAAACCACAGAAATAATACAAACCTGTGGGGAGTACACACAGGAACATTCAGTAAGTCTTTAATTCTTTGCTTTTTTCTAACACCACGCCTCTTTGTGTTTATTGGTCTTTTAGGCTGAAGGGTTGCCAATTCCATCAACTTGGTCATTCTATTTTAAACAAAATTTAAAAAAGAATCAAAGTGGTTTACAGTTTATTTGAAAATACTCATTTTGAAAACCCTTCTCCCTTCCTTAAAGCCCTTGAAATACAGCTTTTAGAATACAGTTATACATCTAGCTACCTTAAGACCAAAACTACATTAATAAACTATAACACATAGCAAATTAATATACACAGAGCACTTAAGTGACCAATCAAAATCGTAACGAGTTCAATAATACCCCTTCCTTCCCCAAGTATGCACATAATTAGGACACTGAAGCTGTAGAAATGCTAAGATGACCCAAGCTGAACCTTTTTTTATAATAGTATTTCCAGTCAACAGGAGTGCCTTTTTTCAAATGCATATATTTTTCTGAATATAGCATAGGGACTTTCTGATTTACTTTTCAGTTTAAATAGCAAATAACGAAAATTACTTCATCATTTAGTATTAGTTTAAAGATTAAAAAAACAGCTATGATGTAATTCAGTCCCAAAACTGCAAGAGAATCCTTAGCACACACAACCTCTCATTATTACTACTCCTAGCAATATACACTGATGTACAAAGAACATTTTGGAAGTCAGAGTGCACATACCATTCAGGCTGAGTAGTTTACTTAGTAAAGATGTGAAAAAATGAAGAATCCAGAAAATAAACTAATTATTGCTTCCTTATATCTGCACACTCTATTCATTCTGAGTTTTTGTTTTGTTGGGTTTTTGTTTTTTGCACATGGGAACAAATGATAATTTGCATACCATTTGGCCATTTTCCTTCTCTTATTGTGATTGAAAACAGCACTGTCCTCCTGTTTTTAAGTCACTCTGGAGCTTCCTTAAGCATCTGGAAAGATCATCTATACACTGCAAACATTAACAGATTCCACCATTTGCTGAACTAAAGTTAGAAAAGCAAAAACACCACTTTAAAAGAGCCCAAAAGCTTGCATATTACTAAAATGCATACCTCTCCTTTTCCTCCTCATTATCGCTTTCATACTCTGATTCATCTCCACTAGATAGCTGCTCCTCTTCTTCAGGCAAAGGAGGTTCTTCAGGAGGCAGAGGTGGGATTGGGGGAGGTGGCACAGGCACTGGTAAATACTCTTCATACTAATTATGGGGAAAAAGTTTAAAAAAGTAACTAAACGTTTTAAGGAAAAAAAAAAGTCATATCTTGTCTTCCTTTACATAATAAAAACAGTCAAAGCAATAAAATAGAAAATTACAGGAAGCATTTTTTTAGAAGTATGTTTATAGGGATCTAGATGCTATTTTGCTAAGCTACATTACTAATGAAAACTTTCCACAAGAAAAAAATTTGCTGCTTTCTCAAGTGTAACAGTGAACATTTTCAGTCGTTTAATTTGAGGAGTTAAAAAAACCCTCAACATAGCAACCATGGCCTTGGGTTTTTATTTTACACTCAGCTTTAAGGACTTTCCTCAGAAGAATATGGTCAAAACGTATGGGAGGATGCCTAAGCTCCCAAGCCATCTCAGTTTCTACACTGAGCCTTCCACCACCTACCAAAGCTACATTTCTGTATCTGTAAGGAGTGAGGATTTTATGAAAGAAATCAGTTTTTTCACTGAAACTGCAAAAATGACATAAGAAATGCCCCACTTCCAACACTCTTATTACACAGCTACATTTATGAACCATCAGTTCCATATGGCACTGATGTCTTCTGGAATTACTCTGTGCCCATTAGAAACTGCTCTGGGAATTTCAAGGACTGGCTTCTCACCTTACTACTCTTTTTTGCATTGCCATTAAATTCACAGTGCTTAATCTGTCCCAATATCAATAATAAAATTATTCTCAGAAAATCAGTTTGAATTAATTTATTTGATAGATTTATTTCATAGTTTTCTTTACCAGCTAACTCCCCTGTTATTAGAAGCAGGTGTTCTGTTTGGGCAAACACAAAGCGTAGTGGAGCACAACTTCACTATATCCAAATACTGTGGCTATCACTATTAACACAAGTCCTCACTTGCTCTATCTTCCCCTGGCAAACTGCTCTATCACAGCAACAGAGAACTGAGACCACAGAACTGGTATTTCTATTTCCCTCCCCCTGCCCCAAAAGCCTCTGCCAGTTTCCCCTCAATCCTGCCTCTTTCAAAATACACCCTGGAGACCATGCAAGTTAAATCCAAAAAGCTCTGTATAATCTCATTAATAATCTGAATCCAATCAGAACTCCAAAGACAGACAGGGGTCAAACTACTTCACACAGCTTTGTAAGGTAATGGGCTAACAGTATTCTTTATTTCCTGTATCTGTAACATGATCCCTTTTTTTTTTATACTCAACAGTTTGAAATACTCCCATGCTACTGTCATATATGTATATTTCTTTGTTCTAAGTATAGTTAAAAAGATTTCTTTAGAAGACTAACGTGCACATCTTACCCAATGAAATGCAGCAGTATTTGCTATCCTCTAGAGAGTTCTCCAACTTTTAGAAGTTTAAACTTAAGACTTCCTACCATGTTGCTAACACTTTAAATTCTGAATCAGTTATACAGCACCTAAAACATATTTTAAAAGTTACCATTGGAGGGCGAGCAGTAATTGGTCCAAAAGGTGGTGGAAGATTCATTTTATTCATAAGATGAAGTACCTGAAACGATTCAAGAGAAGTAAGATAAATTTAAAATGTTCCTTGCTAGATATCATAGGTGATAAATTCTGGAAGTGTAAATCAGCATAGTTTTAATGAAGACACAACTACATTGGTTATTAAACAATTTGAAAGCCTACACTTGAGATCCAACATTAATGGTAAATCTGAGAAACACCCTAAAAAGGCTAATCAAAAAAAGTAAAGCAACTTCTCAGAATTAAATTCCAAGTACTCAAGTCACATCTAATTAGAGAGATCATATACAGTTAAGTCTTCAGTGTCAATGAAGTTACTTCTGGTCAAATTGCATCTTTTTATCTCAACATAGCGAATAATGAACATTGGCTAACACAATCACAGGAAAACTAACTTATATTTACTATGACAAAAATTATTTATGTGGATGATTAGTAGAGGAAAAAGGAGATGTTTCTGGTTTTATACTTTCTTTTTTTTTCAGTTTTTTCCTTACCTGGACATAAAATTTGGGCACGCTTGCCAAGGCATTTGCTATATTTGCTAGGATTGTACTTGAAGGTGGTGGGTACAAATATTTGAGGCAAGAATTGATAGGAAAGGTGAGGCTGAGGAAAAAAAGATTAAAAACACGACATCTTAGCACCATTGCCACATAATGACTGATAATTAATGATTACTAGACATTTAACTATTCATTACATCTGAATTATCACTGAAATATAATTACTTCCCCTAGAACAGTTTTAGGCCATTTACATTATGTCTTTAATATCAGGGAGCAGTCCCCTAACGCATGACTGGGCTTGGGCCAAAGTACCAACACACAGAGAAAGCCTAAAGCACACAGAAACAATCAACATGTCCAAAATCAAAAGCATAGAAAACATCATAAACACAACGCTCATAGTGCTGGGTTCATTAGACCAAAAAGAAATTTATTCTTCATGTATGCAAAAACGCAAATGGGGAAAAAAAAGAACAAGTAACCTCTGGAAAAGCAAAAGTCAACAGTATTCTGCTGTTAACACTGGGACAACCTACTTGGTCCTCACACTCTTCCTGAGAAAGAAATGTATAATCCTAGAAGGCTGTTACGCAATCCACAACTTCACAACTCAAAGCACCCGTCACTACTCAGCTGTGAGGGTTCTAAACCTGAACTAAAGCAATCTTTATAACAATTGCTACAGCTATGCATGTAGAACAGTAGCATACTATAAAACAAACAGTGCACAACACTTATTTCAAAATAAACTGTAACAGAATAAAATAATTAAACCCAAAAAATCCACTAACCCATGGTTGGGTGCAATTCCATTCTCTATTTTAACACAGCTTGGTTCTTTCTTCTCTTCTTCTTTCACTGGTTCTTCTGAACTGAAAATTAATTTAGCATTAATTAAAACTGGACAAAATTTAGGTGCCTTACATAATATATGAAATATGTTTCATCTCATCTATTAAAAATAAATCAGATTAGTATTTTTAACATAATTTACCAATGGCATTACTACAGCCATTATTAATTCTTAAGAATTAATACACGTGGATAATTATTGTAGCCAGGCTTCTAAAACAAATATTTATGCACATTTAAATTCAAACACTTCTGACTTAAATCTACTCACAGGAAAAGAACTAAAATTTGTTCATGTTACTCTCTGTTCAGAGACTTTATACAAGTCAAAGGTATTAAATTAATAGTTTGTTCATATTCAGAGAGTGGAACTAAGAACTTATAATCTCTATAGTTGATTTTAATTAAGCACTATCACATAGCTTCTATCACTTAGTTACATATTACACAGGTAAACCTGAAAGACTAACTATACAGCTTAATTATTTTTTTAATTAAGTACTTGACAGCCAACTGAAACCCAAACTATCACAGTTCTTGGTCACATTACCATTAGGATTCACTGATTTTTTTTTAAGTATCACATATTCTTTAATTATTTGAAGACTCAGTTTTAAGTTTGTTCTGCTCATGCTTCAAGCTAGATACATGCAAATCAGCTCCAGCTTAGAAGCCAGTGGCTATAATAGTATAGTCTTATACAGTTATGCTAGCAGGTGTCAGTTCTGCCCGACTCTTGATTAGTTAAGAAAGAAACATCAGGAAAGCATTGCATGCAATGTTTAACAGCAAAATGAAATTATAATCCTGACACAAAAAAAAAGTAGAAGTCTTTTTTAAACACAGGGAACCTGTGCAACACAGAGGTCAGTTTATGCAGACTGGAGTCTTGCTCTGTAAATGAGAACAAACAGGACCATCTTCTGATTAAAGATATTAGTAACTATAGGAATAAGGATGGGAATTATTTCCTGATGACACTGAATGAAACAATACTAATGGGAGGAATGCAGTCACTTATTTACAGATCTGAACCTGCCTGTTAACACTTCTAAATAGTTACAATTTATCCATTGACTTATCAGTCCTACAAAAGTACCATGAATACAGAATTTACTTTCCTTGCCACAAACACAGAAAATAAATTATTACGCACATACCTTTTACACTTCTCTGAGAAAGAAGGCTGGCTAAGTACCTGCACACTATCTTGCTCCTTTGCAAATTCAACAACTAAGGTGTGACCTAGAAGTTTCAACTGATGCAGTCTTGACAATGCCTTCAAATAATTAGAATGGAGAAAGGAAAGGGAAGAAGAAACACACCAGAATTATTTCACAGCATAACTGTTTTTTCTCTGTTTTTTTTATTTCAAAGCATAACTGGTTGGCAAAGCAGCCACAGGATGCGGTCGCAACTGCTTTAAGCTAAGTCTGGGCCACTACAGACACAGGTAGTTCTGGACTGTTCCTTGCCTTCACAGCCCTGCTTTTAGCAGCCTCCTCCCTGACAGGAGGGAGAAAAAAGATGAGGTTGCACAGCTAGAACCATTGCAGAGACTGAGGTCATCTGAACACAGTAGTGAGACTACAGCCTTAACAATGATACTTATTACATAGCCTAGTAAATCTCTGTGATTCCAAGTACCTAATCACTTGCTCATGAACTACAAACATGCTGAAGTCCACTAGTAATAGCTAGGAATTTTGAAATCAAGATTCTTAACAGTGACACTAGGAAGCTCCAGCATTCTGCTAGTATGGATCCTGACAGGCTGCTAACGACTGACACAAAGCAACCTAAATTCACCACTGTTCACCTCACATAGTCTTTGTAACATTTTGAGTAGTACTTTACAGTATGGCCTAAAAAAAAAGCAACACCAAAAAAAACAGGACATAAGAAGGAAATTCAGGGGACAGGCTTTTTACCAATTCATATTTTAAAAGTCTTATTAGTACTACCTTTCTGGCATCCGCGTCCCCCATTAACATGGTAGTTTTCTTTTTCTTAACAGAGTTGGGCATTCAAGGCAGTCTTGAATTGCATACATCATTATGTCTGAATTTTATGGCAAATATGCAATTATGCAGGAGACAAGTAAATTATGTTTGGTTTATAGTTTATATATAAATGCACACAAACCTAGCAAGGCCCTAATCAGTCTCAACTCATGTAAGTTTGCCATGTTCTAAGTGACAAGTTGGATCAGATGACTTTCAGAAGCCCCTTCCAACCTACCCTTCTTATGATTCTACAGGAGTGCTCATTTTATCAAATCCTTCAAGCATCTCCTGAAATAGAGCTCTAATATTACATTGCTCTGAATTTTTTCCCCAACACTGAGTACTACATGATGTGTAAAACATTTTAGAGCACAACTGTCAATTCAGAAAAGTGCTTTGCTAAAACATTCAGTATCAGACTCAATACAAACCTTCACAGCTGCATTTTCACTGGGAAAGGTAGCAAAAGCAGTATGTTTCTAAAAAGCAAAGAAAAAAAATGGTCATACTGAATTCAAATTAAAAAGGTAAGAATCTGCATGTAAAACACATATGAACAAGTAATTCGTAAGTTCAAGTATATGTATTTGAAAGCTTCCAGACAATAGTTATCTAACTCCCATGTAAGGCGAAGGTGAAGGAGTAGAGAACATTTTACTTCAGAATTTAGGACAAACACCTCCTGCAGTCAAAAATTAGGATAGGAACTCAGCAGTTTGAAGAACACAGGCAAACAGTTGCTTTTTTCCTAGCAAGCAAAAGCCATCCTAAACTGCAAGAAAGTATGTATTGACAAAGAAGTTAAATTTCCTCCTTCGAAAAGAGGATTAATTTCAGCACCTCTCAGCAGCAGGTTTTCATCTAAGCAACTTCTAAAAGTAATACTTTTCCTACTACAAAAGTCATAACTATTGTTGTACTCTGAAAGTTTAGATAGTTTCTAACTAACATTTTCACTACTTTAAGTTTAAAAAAGATTAAGCTTTCCAAATTAGACTAAATTCTCACAGAATACAGTTTATCCTAAACTTAAATTTGTTTTAACAAACAATTAAAATTACTTCATCTTGCCACTACACAATTCAGTATTAAAACCCCAAATCATTAATACTGTCATAAGAGCAGCTATCCAGAAAATCTTTGTAACAAACTCAGTATTTTTAACATCCTGTAAAACAAAGCATAACCCTGACACAAGATGTGGACATCATTTATCTGCAGTTCTGTAAGAATACAAGGCTTTTTCCAAACAGCATTTACACCAGAAAAATATTCCTATATTTTTGTAATTTGGAGGGAAGAAATAAAATAAAAATTTCAAGAAACAGACCTGTGAAACTGCATCCCTACTTACCCTTCTGCACTGCTTTTCCACAGCCTTATTACTAACAATAAGCGAGGCCAAAGCTGCGGCCAAGGGCACAGGACTTGCAGCAGGTGGGGAGACGGGTGGGAGCCGGGCCCCCCGTGCCAGACGCTGTCCCGACCGCCCCGCCTGGGCTCAGCGGTGCTCTCCTGGCGTGCAGGGCCACGGCGCCGCTGCCCGCTCCCGCCCGAGCGGGGAAAAGGAAGAGCTCTTATCCGGCAAACACACTCGCCCCCCCGCCCTGCGGCCC